AGGTCACATGACTTGCCCACACTCGCACAGTTAAATGTGGTAGAACCAAGATTTGAGCGCAGGAGAGCTGATACTCCACATAAATGTACATGCTCTACGCGAACAGTCATTAAGATGGCTAATTACTGTATTAAGAAGATTAACACCTAATTAGAGCAAGATTTTAACTTGTTTTAACTTAACTGTTATGCTGTTCAATCCTTAAATTGAATGTGAGCAGAAACTGATATGCATAATTCAGGCGGCTTTAATTCTGGCAAAAATAATTGCTCAGCTCATCCACAGGCGAAGTTTGCCTTAGTAGCCAATGTGTGACACAGGTCACATAACGTACCAACAATTTAAAAAAGGGAAGAGACAGTAAGAGCAGGAAAGGGACGGGGCCCCCAAGGAGGCTTCTCTCGCAAGGTCCCACCCTCAGCAGAGCCCTAAATCCTCTAAGGCAGGCCGGGCAGCTTCTTCCACCTCCCCAGCCATCAAAGCCACCAGGGTCTCTTGCTAGGATCCTGCGTTAGCCTCTTAGAGGGTCTCCTCCTTTATGCTCAGGGCTCCCTCCATACCCTTCTCTGTCCAGCAGCCAGCAAAATCTTTTCAAAACATGTCACTTCGCTGCTTCAACCCTTCCAATGGCTGCCCCTTCTTCCTCAGAGTCGAAACCAAAATCCTAGCAACGGCCTTCAAGGCTCTCTGACCTCCCGCCTTGTTCCCTTGGCTCCAGCCACTGCGGCCTCTTGACTGTGCCTTGACCGGGGCCTCCGGTTCTTAACTGGCTGCTCCTTCTGCCTGGAACCCCCTTTGTCCAGATATGCTCAGCACCTACTCCCGTATTTCACTGGATCTCTGCTCAAAGGCAAAGCAGAGATCCCTTTGGGAGAGGGCCTCTGGGACATTCTTTCTAGAACAATGCTCCCACCACCACTCATTGTCCTCTCCTCCCTCAATCCACTTTATTGTTTTTGTTTTTTTTTAATATGAAATTTCTTGTCAAATTGGTTTCCATACAACACCCAGTGCTCATCCCAACAGGTGCCCAGAGAGGAGATGTGAAGAGCAGACCCACCCTGATGTACTGGAACTCCTCTACAGGTGACTCGGGCAGGGGACACAGCAGTGAGGTGCTCGCGACCCCGCCCGGCTTGTTGTGTTTCCTTGTGACCAAGAGCAGTTTGTTCCGGATGGCGACAACGATCCTCAGCTCTCTGCTGTGGTGAGTGTTAATGGCGTACAAGTGGCAGCCTAGGAAGAGAAATAAATGATGCTGACACAAGACAGGAGTCTGGAAGCTCCGGGGCTTCAACAATGTGGCGGTCCCTAAGAACCCTGGAAATGAAGCAGAACTCAGGGAGAATGCCTGAGAATGTTCCCACCACCAGACAGGACGGAGACGTGAGATACAAGTTAGGCTGAGTTTCAGGAAAATTAAGCAAGTCATATTCCCTGTAGCCTAGAGTTTGTGGTCTCAGCTTCGAGCCCACGGCACCATATGAATGAAAGTGGCATGTGAGCAGAGCACCAGGAGCCAGAGGCTCAAAGTCTCTCTTTGCAGATCTGTGAACAGAACTCACCTTACCTTCAAAACTTTCCTCTAACACAAGGCCTGGACTTTCCTCTAACCCTCTACATGTTGTTCTACCTTTCAGGCTTCTCTCTCTCTCTCTCTCAATCTCTGTCTCTCATGTTTGTTTATTTTTGAGAGAGAGAGCCCGATGCAGGGCTCAAGCTCACAGGCTGCGCCATGAGAGCATGACCTGAGCCAAAGTCGGACGCTTAACCGACTGAGCCACCCAGGCGCCTGACCCTCAGGCTTCTCTCAGAGGAATGGTGATACGATCTTGGCGATGTCTCTGAGTAAAAACCAAACCAATAAAATCAAATTCCCATGCATTTTCATCTCCAGGGAAATCTGGGCAGTCCGAGAAAAAAAACAGAATTCGTTGAACAGAAAGCACCCAAATACGAAGACTCCAGTCACCTTTTGTTTTCTCCAGCTTGTTGTCCCTGCAGTCACACTTGCCCTTCACGGCCTGTTTGCCCTCGACGGCCTTGTGCACGGCGCTGAGCCTGAAGACAAAGAGGCGGGCGTCTTTCCCTGGGAGAGAGAGAAGGTGGAGGAAGAGACTGTTGGGAAGACGGGAAGAGCAGACGGTGCAGGCAAGCTACTGCCACAGAACTAGGAGCCGAGGTGTTCCAGAAGTGGGGAGAAGCCCCACGCCGGCTTTCCCCAACAGTGCACTGAAGGATGTGCCCCGCCACCCTCCTCCCTCACCGTCCCCTCCTCAGAGAACAGAGGGCCGCCCGGGGACCCCGAGCACCGGGCACCTGTGAAGCAGTAGCTGGCGTGACCCATGCAGTCGGACCCTCGTGACCCTCACGGTCGGCCACGGAGGGCCACACGCTTCCCCCCATCTCAGAGGACGCTACCGGGAAGGGGAACATCACCTTTGTCAGCTCTGAGGATCAAAAGGTCCAGGGTCTCCAGCACATGCATCTGTTTTACTGGCAGGGTCTTGTCAAACACGGGCACTGACGGAAGGTCATCTGGAAGAGGAGACGTGGTCACCCTGACACTGTACCCAGCCTACAGGTTCAGAACCCGTAATACATGCCTGTGAGTGGCTCTGGACCCCAGTTCTCTCTAGGCAAGGAAGGTCAGCTTCTGGAGCGTTCGTAAGGTCTACACAGTAAGTTCAAGTGCTATGCTCTCAGGGAGAAGGACTGACATTCCTTCCTCTGTGGAGGGAGCAGAACAGCGGGGCCTAGAAACTATATTCTTCTCTTCCATACTCAGCAGAGAAAAATCGGCATCCCTCCATCCCAGTTCTTACTGGCATCGTAACCAAAGGACTGAACGGCAAGTTAAAAACCGTACAAAAAGCTCAGCCATTAAGTATTATCTTATTTTTACGTAATGTTTGAAATTGCGTCATTTCTTAGATGATTTTGTCTAAAACCAAAATTAAACCAAAACTAAAATTTCCTTTTGTATTTAAAGCAAATACAGACACACCCTATTCCATGCCTGTGTCTCTACCCACAGGAGTTTACCTATAAATTTTCAGTATTTCTCCGTAGAGGAGTATGAAATCTCCTTCTTAGACAAAAATAAGAGAGAAATGTCGATGAAGTTGCTGAAATGACAGGAAAAAAACTAATTGCAATGGAAACGTTCAGGAAGACGTCAGGTGAATGGCTGATCAGAGACTGCAATGATACTTAGGATTTGTTTTTAAACTTACTTAGGGGGGACTTAAACTGCTAGCAATTACTTTGTTCCTGAGGGTCCCTAGGACACAGAGGGCTAAAAAAAAATACTTAAGACTCTTTCATAAGCAAAGGGTCTGTTTTGAGTTTGATGTAGAATCGGCACAAGGCAAAGAGGTTCTGGGATGGTGGAACATCTTAGGCAGGGTAAGGGGCTTCTTCTTAATCTGTGCTTTGCCTGACATTTAGGTCTTCAAGTGTTCCTTGTGGCTGTGGGTCTGGGTTTGTTTCTTTGGTTACAACTGAGGTGCGCGGGGCCCTGAGGGTCTTGGCTCTTCTAGACATCTGTCTGGTTGGGTGGGGGTTCATCCCTCCCTGGATGGTGCCCAGGAGAGAACAGATTTTTGTTGTCAGGACAGGGTTCAGAACTGCCTCGCCAGGGAGGGCTCTCCCGCTCCCGCGGGCCAGGCCGGTGGGGGCTCTGGATTTGTCAGAGCTCAGAACCTGCTAAGCTTTTGTTAGACAGAGGGCTTGCTCTAGCTCCCCTAAGTTACCGCGGCGAATGTAAATTCTGTGACAGCCCATCCGGTGGCTTTCCTACCCGCCTCGACCCTCTTCCTCTACAGAAGTAACTGAATCTCAGGCTCTTTGTGTTTCTGCTGGCGGCAGACGTGAGTTTCCGAAACACGGGATGATCGTGCCAGTACCCATCTTCACACCAGACTAAGCAACCACGGTCGTTTCCTTCTGTGAGTGGCAGCTGACATACACACAGGGCTTCCTTAATGCCAGGCCTCGATGCGGTGTTTCGCACGTTCTTTAACTGAAATGCCCCAAGGACCCGCTTAGGTAGCCACTTCTAATACTCCCATTTAACAGACGAGGACCTGAGGCTCAGGGGTGCTAGTGACTTGTCCAGGGTCACGTCTTGAACATGCGGAGCCCCAGTCTGTATAGGGACAAAGCCCGTACTCTTAGCCTAGAGGCAGCACCGCAGCCCTATGGATTGACGGTGCCATCACACAAGGTTAGGGTTAGGGGACTGTCAGGAATTCATACGTGACAGAAGCACTTCATTTGACATTTAAGACAGAGGGACACCATGTAGGAGCCCACCTATCTACAGCGTGACTTGGCATTTATTCTCCATCAACTCTTCTACGGGTGGCTGAATAGGTTTATACACAGCACAGGAAGGAGGAAGCAGGGATATGAGAAAGTGACGCGTGGCTTTAATGGCTGTTTCACTGCCATGTTCTCCTTCTTGGAATCTCTTTATGAAGAAATGATCTTTTAGAGCTGGCTTTTTCTATTACTGCAACCCCAAAACAAATGGCGGCAGCATAGTTAATCAGGGTGTAGTCTGCCTTCAAAGTAGCTTTTGCTGCATTTAGAATACAAAGGATCTTTGAGTTTTAATAAAGACCTTGAAAGAAGCAGACTCTCAAGGGGGTGGGTCTAATGAAATGAAGCAGCCGCTAATGGGACAGAGTGGAACCTGGCCTGAAAGGAAATGGAGAGATCCGGCTTCATGGAAACAACTCATAACATGATTAAGTATCGACAAGAAAAAGGTAAACAGAGAAATACCAAGAGAATGAGGACTTCGAAGCACAATGAGGAATACAAAGGAAGCCTGGAGGGTTATTCTCTCCTTAACAAAAGCGAACAGGGCTAGCAGTGCTGCATACCCAGGAAATGAAAACAATAATCTGAGGAATAAATCCTAAGCTCATGGGTGTATGTGGCTGCCACCTGCGGCAGACAACTTCCCTCAAGGTGGAAGAAAAGAATTGCCTGGCACATCACCAGGATCCTTGTATCTGACACCTCCAAGAAATTTTGGATCCATCGGGACGAAAATCGCAGAAGGGGACGTGGTGATCTTCATTTGGATTTGACATTTAAAAAAAAAAAAACAGAAGCAGAGAACTCTAACAGTTTTTAGGCAAGCCCTGCAAATAGTCATTGTAAAGCGTGTTTCCTCATTCCTAAAAACAACCAAAAAGTAGAATGTAACACTCTTTTGATCAGAACATAATTATTTGCGTGGGACTACATTTTTTTTTTTTTTTTTTTTTTTTTTTTTTTTGGAAATCTGTGTTAAGGTAAAGACAATAACATTGGTAGAGTTTAATTTGATTCTAATAAAATGTAGTTGGTTTAGTGGGAACAGCGCTGGACTAGGAACCACCTCTGGCTTCCAGTTCCGGACGTGCCGCTAACCAGCTGTGTGATCTTGGGCAAGTCACACCATTTCTTTAGTTTTTTCATCTATAAAATTAAGAGATGGGACTAAACGTCTATAGTGTGTTACTGTTTTTTGTTTTTAATTATTTTATTTGGTTGCACTTTTGGCAAAACCTATGGATTTTGTTACCTTTTAGCACGTTCAGAGGGATACTGTAAAGGTAATAGCTGCTGTTTCCTAAATTACAACTCTGTGCCCGGCACTGCTCTAAACATTTAACGTAGGTAATCTAATGTCCACAGTCCCTTCCTGTTATGATCATCTTTCCCATTTTATTTCATAAGTTTTCATTATTGTAAACCAGTTTTCAGCTGCTTAAAAAACTCCCCCCACTTCAGAGAAACCTGAAGCCCCCAGAGGTTAAGTTTTCTTCCAGATCACAAAGATTCTCTAACAGTTTTGCAGTTTCTAAGTTAAATATTTAATTTCAATTCTCAGCTTACAAATTTTAGATTATCTGCCTTTTAGTGAATTAGTTATATATACGTTTATATAGTTATACACACACATACTTAAATAATGACGTTATGGACACACAACTGAAATATGCATCAAAAGTGACAGATGAAGTCAGAAATAAATCTATTATGAAGCCTGGTCCGCCTCTCCTGTCTTCCCACAGAAGGCACCTAGCACAGGGCCTGGCACACAGCAGGCACTTGGGAAACCTGCTGACAGCGTCTGAGGAGGGAATGAAGAAGGTCTTGGCTAGGGCTGTGGAGACACTGTTGTTTTAGCCACCTCTCAGTGTTGGCTTTCCGAATCTCATAAAACATCAGTACGGTAACTGAGACTGGGTGGTCTGTTTCTGTGCTGTGGAGGACATGTCCTTGGAAGACAGACTCTGTGCCCATGGCTCCCTCTGAAGCCCCAGGAGACGGCTTGCTACCAGCGTTTAACCCCCTTAACATTCACTGGGAGTCTGGAAAAATCCAAAGGGGCTTCCTGTTGGAAGGGCCCGCACAGTACTGGAGTCTAAATGAAATCCCCATCAGAAGGTGAACTCTCTCCACAGCATCCTCCCCAAGGGCATGTCCCACTGGCAGCCGATCTGTGCTGACAGGGAAATGACCACCTCCCCAGGCACAGTGATCCACCTGGTGGTCAGAAAGTTTGGTTTTGTATTAAGTTGGTATGTGTCTTCCTGTCATAATCTGTGTCTATATCCATCCTAAATGGGTTATCTAAGATTCTTATTATTTGTTTTGGACACCAAGTACTTTTTGAATCAGAAACCTTGAAAAAAAAAGAGCTCTGATAGAGGGCATGTCCCTGAGGTAGGAGCTTGAAATACCAACGGTGTCCTTGTTGATTTAAGGTAAAATGGTGGAATCATGACAAGTAATGACCAAAAAGGAGATTCCTTTTGTAGGTCATTTGCTGTCCGCAGACTAAGGAGATTTGGGGAAGGGATAAACCTGTCATGCACGACTCACCCTCTGGCTCGCTTGTTCAGAACATATTCCCTCTGCTTGTCCTGAAAAGAAGGGGTTAATTTTGTAAGGAAAGGAAACCTGGCTAACCTCACTGAGGACGATGCGTTTATCTACAGGGAGTTGGCTGGCGGTCACCCATCTTAGAAGTACTACAAATTACACAAAGAAAGACATTTGAAGGACAGCTACTCACTAACCATCCACTAGCAAGACGCCAGCATCAGTGGAAACCAGCAAGGCCTGGCCCCAGGGATCCGCACACACGGCTTCGTGAGGGAAATTACTGCAGAAACACTGGGGCTCCCAAGGCTGCGAGGTGACAAAAGCATCGGAGAATAAGCGCACCGGAAAGAATACACCACGGCCCCTCAGATGGAAAGGTACAGTACACCGTCTGCAACAGCGACCCATGTATCCCCAAACTCTGGGAGCCAAGTGGGCCCTGGACTCAGTTACCTTTCTCTCTCTCTCTCTCTCTCTTTTAAAGATTTTATTTTTAAGGAGTCTCTACACCCAACGTGGGGCTTGAACTCACAACCCTGACATCAAGAGTCACACGCTGTACTGATTGAGCCAGCCAGGCGCCCCTCAGTTACCTTTCTTGGGAAGAAAGGTCTCCTTTCAAATACATATGCAGTAGGAAAAGAGGGAAGTCACAAGTTTCTGGCACCATGACCTGCCTCTATATGTAATAATGCTCCTCGGGGCCAATCGGAGCATTGGTAACGTCTTCTAAGCACACATTTTTCTTTAGTACTTGAACTTGGACCAACTGTTGCCTATTTGTTTGGAGAATTCACATTAGGTCTTCGTAAAAGGAAGATCCATATAGACTCCACACAAAAAAAGACTGATTCCTGTGTTGCTGCTTTGATAAAATTATGAAGTCATACACGATGCAAGAAGTTGACATTGTCTGAACATGAAAATGCTTACTGACCCACTTAAGGCTAGAGAATCTTAAAAAAAAATAAATAAATAACACCTGTTTGTAAGAATCTGGAAAGTGCTGCCGACAAATGTATTCGTGCTCCCCCACGTGACGTATTCATACCTTGTAAACTCTTCCCCTTAGTCTCATGCTCGGTTCAGGCACCAGAGTTAGCCTCCCTCACTGCTGCCCCAGAGCTGAGTGGGGACGCCTGGGGCCGGCAGGCACCATTCAGTGGGTCCTTAGTTACACCAGAATTAGGGACATTTTCAACAGAACCATTAGCTTCCCTCCAAAGCACGTGGCTTCGCCTCAAAGGACAAAGATGTTTTTGGAGTTTCTCAGGGACAAGTTAAAGTGTGACATGTTCGCTTTTACTCTCAATTAGACGTGCCACCTGAGGACGGTGTAAGACCCGGTGTATGCACACGGGGGCGTGTCTGTACGCACTGGGTGAACACACGTTGGCGTACTGAATGTAGAAGTGGGGGCTGTGAGGTCGCCTTCAAAGGCATTACTTGGGATAATATACTGTGTATATTACCACGCTGCGAAAAATGTGCTCTCCCTTTAAGAAACTCACAAGCCTCAAAGTGAATCTTCTAATTGCCAAGATGAGGCTTAGGCTGTTCTGGGAAGATCACACAAAGAATGTGATGACATTTTACAACCTGGAAAGGGCCACACCAGTTCGGGCCATTAATTGGAATGGCATTTCCCTTAAGAAGATGATTGGAAATTCTGACTTTGTGGCTTAGAACAGGAGGCCATGAAAAAGCAAAGACGTCATAAATGTCAGCTGGCGGCAGCCATTGACATCTGAACGTTAGGCAACACTAAGACTGAAAAACAACTCTTAATAACAAAACTTTCTCCGAGTGGAGGACACAAATTTGGAACATTTATGCAGAACAGGGGTTCTAAACCCAGGAGATCTAAGGCTCCTAGGGAATCCATCAGGAGCTTAAGGAGGTCTGTGAAACCCTGGAATTATATTCGAGATGTTGTGTACACGTGCCATTTGCACATTTTAATGAACTAGACTGTGGGGGAGGGTGTCCACTGATTTCATGGGTTCTCAAAGGGACTGGGGACTCAAAGTTGCTTGAGGATGTCATGTATGAAGTGTCAGCGATAAGAACTCAGACCCGGTCCCATAGAGGCTCTGCTCTGAGAACTGATGGCATTTGCCATTGCACCGGACTCCCTTCTGCCACGTGAGGGGCTTGGTGCAGACTCTGTGGGGAGAGAATGAGGCCTTCAGGTCTTCCTGCCCAAGGGCAGGACTCCTTGCTGGTCCCTCTAGGAATATTAACACAGCTCATGAAATGACAGATGCCTAGGAGAGTTGACAAAGCCTCCTCTTTGGAAATAAAACACTCTTGGGAGCAGCATGAGGGACTCTGGCCTCCACAGAGCCGACTGCACAGAAGTCCATGAGGGCCTCTGGGGCCCTGTTTCTCCAACGAAGGCCTACGGCCAACTGGTAGGTTATGCACTGATGGAAAAAATGGAAGCTCTTTCTTTGCTGTTCACTGGTGAACAAGTTACCTTTCCACAGCCTTTCATTTTTATGTATGCCTCAGAACTTCTTATCGAGGAGGTTACTAAATCCTGCTGGAATTTGGTATTTATACAGCTCTTGGCAACACTGAGAATTCTACCATTCACACAAGCAAGCCGATTGTGGGAGTTTGGGCAACCTTTGGAAAAGATGCTTTGCCATCAATCTGGCCTTAAGTTGGTTGTGGTTTTCCAGCATCACTTGTATTTTGAGCCCATCGTTTCCCTGAAACCAGACTTTATAGTGTGTTGGGTCTGCAATTCAGATGCGAATCATTTATAGCTTCATCACTAAAGTAAATGCGTTCGTAATTCTTCTGCTTTTATAATGGACACCTCTCTAGTGATGCTCTGTCCGTGGATTTGTCCCATTTAACTATCTGTTACATACTTGGAACACGGACATAATTAAGTACATCGGGAATGGTTTTACAATACAAAATCATGCAAGTAAGTTTATATGCAATTTTATTGTTTTCTCTTCTCTTTTTGATTACCACCCTAGTTTCCTTACCCACCCTCCCCCCACCCCGCCAAAGGAAAGTGGAAGTAAGAAGTAGATACAGAGGCCACAGAATTTCTGGGGTGGCTGAATGAACTATAGATTAAGCAGCCGTTTCTCAACTGTGGCCCTCGACCAACAAGCATCAGTATCTCCTGGGAACTTGTTAGAAATGCAAATTCTCAGGGCTCACCCCAGACACTCTGGAGGTGATTCTAGTATACACAGAAGCTTGGGAAACATGGCCCTAGAGCTTTGCTTTGAGTGTGTCCAGGCACCCCATGAGAGCTTGTTATAAATGCAGAATCCTGACTCCTCCCCAGAGCTCCCGAATGGGACATGCATTTGGTCACTATGTCCAGGCGGTCTGCACACACACAAGGCTTGAGGAGCACTGCTCAGCCCTGTCTGCCTGACCAGGCCTGGTCCACCAGCTCTGCTCCATTTAAGCATGCAAAGGCACACACACGCTCTGGAAATTGGGGACTCTCACTTACTGTTCCTCAATTTTATGTGGGGTTTCCCCTGAGGGCCCTGCAACAGACAAGCTCTTCTCCCTCCTGTCCCACACAACTCTAAGAATTGCAATAGCTTCCCTGATGACAAAGGACATTCACAGGCTAACTGGAGAGTATCATCAACTCACCTCTTTTTTACAGATCCCCGAAGCCACCAAGCTTGACGGAGCGTCCCCTCTCACAATGGATTTCAGTTTTAGTGCCTTACAGGACAGAGACCTCTTTTAAAGTTTGTTAGCAAGCAGTAATGGAACAGTAGGTTCAACACTTGTAATTTGAAAAATGTTCAATAAAACAGGAGTAATTTCAGACTAAGTGTCAGGTTCCCACACTGCCCTATCACTGAAGACATGGCATGCAGCCAGCTGAATATGGTGAAGCCCTAACGACAACCGCCCAGCCCCCAATGACCCAGAGGCCATCCTGTCATTTCAATTAATCAGTGTCTCAGTGCAGGGATTTCCACACTGGGAGACTGACCCCTCCTCAAGCTTGATGAATCAGAATCTCTGAGAGCAGAGTCGGGGCGCCCCTGTCACAGAGCACCTGTTTGGTGCGGTTACTTTGGCCTCTTAGCTTTCCAGGGTCACTTGATTCTGCTTGGTTCTCTCCTCTGGGTCTGAACCTTAGCTGCAGCTGACCACTCTCCTTCTCTGTGTTGACAAGAGATCAAGGCAGAAAGCTGTGTCACCTCCCAGAACTGAGACATACTAATGTCATGTGGGAGTGAGGCAAAGGGGGAACGATTTCCTCCAAAATCTGGAATCAGATGCTAACAGTGAGCCACCAAATTCTGAGGATTGCTTCCAAGCAGCGGGGTGGGAATTCGGGTCCATGAGGATGCCACTGCTCTGTGCTTACTCCTGCCAGGGAGAAGTTCAAGGTGCTTTTCCCACAGTGGCTTCTCACTCTTCAGAAAATGCCCAGGAGGTAGGCAAATGGTACATGCTCCTTTGACAAGAGGGAGCTCAGCCTGGGCCTTGTGACTCCCTGCTTCGAGACAGTGGTACTCACTCTTCCGCAGAAAGCTTTGCTCCCCCCACCCCCACAGAGCTACGCCTACGTGGTTATCAAAAACCTCACTCGTGGTTTCCACAGTAATCCTAAAAGGAACTGCAGAGCTCCCACAGGAGTACAAAGACATGAAATTCTTTGCAGGCGGGCCAGCTGATGTGGATGGGACTCACAACTGCACATCTTGCCAAAGAGGTTCCAGAATAAAACCCACCTGCCCTATTCTAACAAACTCTGCCTGGCGGGCCTCCTCTTTCTTCCGTGCGGACTTGGGCGATTCTGGTAAGACGTCACTAAAAGATCGTCTGTTAAGCATGTTCTAAAAAAGAAAAACAAGTCACGGATTCCAAAGATGGTTGTCAAGTCCCATCCTTCGGCTTCTCCTAATGCACAAACCTATTTGTCCAAATGCTATTTCAACCTCTGTATCCGTTGACGCAATAGGCATTCGTGGGGCACGGCTTGTGTGCCAGGGTCTGTGCTAGATGCTAGGGGTCAAAGGCCAACAGGTGGAGAGCCAGTCGCTCCAAGGCTTACTAACTTCCCACCGGGTGACAGAGTCACCATGTTGCACAGCTCCGGGGATGCCTTTCTCAGAGAGCGGCACCCCTTCCCCCACCGCCCCCGGCACAAGGCGTACTGAATTCTGTGTGAGTGGCGCCCCTTGGAGTTGTGTGACTGTAACTCTCTCGGTGACTTTGGGCAAGTGAGTTAATTTATGGCTCTTGGTGTCTTTGTGTGGCTAATACCTGTCTCCAAGGCGTGTTATGAAGACCACGTGAGGAAGTGCGTGTAAGGTGCTTAGCACAGGGCTTGGGCGCACACACAGTAAATGTCAGTTCTCTTCCAGTGCACAGTCAGAGAATGGGCACGCTCTTTCAATCAGCAACCACTGACTGATCACCCACCACTCTGCCAGATGTGCGGTGGCGGGGTGGGTGGAGGACGGTGATACAGTCTGTCCTTGCAGAGCACAGTCTAACGGGGGAGACAGATTAAGGAATGGATGTCATGACTGGCACATGGGAGAATGTCTACGGAGGGGAAATACACAGAATGTGAGAGTGCCTAATATGGGGACTTGGCTTCACCGGGCGTTGGGGAAGGCCATGCTTCAGCTGGGACCTGAGGGGCCTCATGTCTTCATCTCGATACCCTCTCTGCACCCCTCCCTGACCTTAGGGAAAAAAGGGGATGGATGGATTAGTGATCCTGGCTTGCTCTTTAGCGCTTCGGGCTGGTCTAGACCGATCCCTGCAAGTAGTTAGGATGTACTGGCCAGCCGGAAGTCAAGGGGTACCTATAAAATGGTGGTGGTCCCAGTGCTGAAGGGAAAGGATCACCTGAGCACCAGCTCATTTGGATACTCTTCATCTCCCCATGTAAGCACCTGAAACTGACGCCACATGTATTTACGCACATCACTGGTGGTTCCTTTTGCTGGAGTTTATGAACGCAAGGAATCTAGGGGAGTCTTCCCACTTGTTCTGGGATCTCTTGTTAAAGGCGGGGAATACTTCTAAGTAGCACTACTTTTACTCTGCATCAATGAGCCCGTGCATCTGGTGATCTCACACTGAGTCTGGAGGATTCTAAAGAGCCCGAGGGGCCCTGGAGGCCCCGGGGGAGGCGCTGGGTCCCATCAGTGTGGAGATACCTTCAGCCTAGGAAGTGCCTGGCACAAAGTGAATCTGCAGTAAATGTAAATACTTGTTTCAGTGCCTGAATATGGGGCTGGCCGGTAAATCTCCGGAAAACCTTAAAAAGCTCCCAGTGTCTCTTCCAAATCCCTACTTTTGCCTATCCATCAGCTCTATGTCACTGGTAATGTTGAATAGTACCACCAAGGACAGGCACCCCCAAATAGCACTCTCGAATGCTCCAGGGATTATGGATTGACACTCATGCCCCCAGTCTGCACCTCCATTCCCACAGGTCTGTGGTTTCTGAAAACCACGTTCCTGTATATGGACATTCCACACTCTTTCTTGTGGTAACAACGAGAGAACCAATGTTGGCCATGGTGGCCATAGTCCGGTGTTAACAGCAAGGATCAAGGCAACTCCTGTGTTTTTCTAACCAGGACTCATTGCTAGGATTGGTGTTCTTAACCCAAACCCATGAGAAGGAAAGAGGACCACGGACCCAGGGTTACCTTATGTAAATCTGGCATCAAATCCTGGTATAAAGATCGAATCAACATATCCAGAGTACGTCGACGTTTCTGGGCAAATGTTGGGGTTTCCAAAGTGGCTTTTTCACCATTAATTACTAAAATAAATCAAATTATAAAGGGAGTTACGAATACTAACATGCTATTGAAGAATGTCCTTCTCAAGGAAACTCTTTGCAGTGAATGCCACCCACTTTCCAAATACTGGTATTACCACTGGCACTACCCTTCCTCCATGGAAGAATGTCTAACTCTCTAAATTTTTCTATCCAAACCCATAGTCCATAGGTATCTCTGTCTTACCTTTCCCGTTGGACTTCAAGCTTCCAGAGCAGAGGGTGTATCTAATTACTTGACCTAGTACACACCCAACCTGCCCCCATCTAGCGTTCCTCCTTCCTTCCCTCCCTCCCTCCCTTCCTTCCTCCCTCCCCCCACTCTATCCATTCATCCATCCATCCACCCAAACATCTACCTACCTAACCATCTACACACCCATCCAACACATGGGCCAAACCACCAGGATGCCATTTAACAGGATTAAATATGTATTTGCTACATTTTGTTAGGAAAAATAACAACTGCCTAAGCAGAGTACTGGGGTTCTTGCCCTAATGGAAGTTTCTTCTGGGCAAAAAAAGCTGATGGTTAGTGGGCTACAGACACTAAGGGTCAGGAAAGTGGAGTGTCCAGTTCCACATCAGACCATAGAACAGAAAGTGTGCAATAGGGGTTAGGAGCTTGAAATCAAGACAGTTATGGGTTTGAATCCCAGCTGTGCTGCTGCATTCTTAAGAAAATTATTTAGCTTCTTGGGGGGCCTCAATTTTCTACCCTGTAAAATGGGTATAACTGTATTTCCTTATAGGATCAATGTAAGCATTTAAATGATATAATACATATAAAGGGTTAGCACCATACTAGGCATATCGAACTGAATAAATGTTAACTATTATTTTTCTCATATAATGTGCCAAAGGAAGTCAGTGTTCAGACTGAAAAATGAACTTCTTGGGCCCAGGCATTTCCTGGATAGGATCTGAGTGCTGGGGACAAGCTGGGCTTGTTTGTGGTAAGATACCTCTTAAGGAAATTAAACTGAATGCATTTAAGGCACACCTATTATTTTCTCTTAATTCTGTGACTGGAAATTTTTTGTTTGAGGATATTATTTCCTTAGTGCCCCAGAAAAAAAAATCCATTTTAAATGACCTGTTTCAGCCAAATAAAGGGAAAAGATTAAAAATCCTGTTGAAACGCCATTTCTTGTGATCTTGGGGTTTCCTGCCTGGCCTTCTTCCTCTCTCCTGTTAACATCCAGTCTGGAATTCAAAAAGACTTTGGCTCCCCTGGCTTGTACCTTTTCTCTCAGTCCATCAATCCCTCCTGGTCCTTCCTGGCTCCATGCTCCATTCCTTCAACGACCCTCTTCACAGCCCATAGATCGACTTCCACGTTTTCCACTAGATCGACTGTGCATGTTTTCAACTATAGATCAACTGAGGCCTTTGCCTCATTCTACCCAAGCATCCAAGGGTGCTGCTCAAAGTCACTCTGTTGACTGACTCCATTGAAATCAGCAGATATACCAATAAGCTGGGTTCTTAGGCTCCTGAATCATCTCTAATCATGGTTCAAGGGCTCCATGCCTGCAGCGGCCCTGTCCCTGCTGCAGACACTCTGTAAAGACTGCCTACCTCCTGAGCCCTGGCTTCCAAGATGCTCCCCATTTCTAGCTGCTAAACCTATTCTCCGTTGCTGACTCTGCTTCAGGTCTGTTTCTTGCTCTCTACCTGACCCTCTGGACTTGAAACACGTGGACCCCCATTGTAAGATTCAGGCAATTTCACATATCACTTCAGATTTTTGGCTTGTTTCTAAAACTCGGAATATCTCGCAGCACTGGGCGCGTTCTTCTGGATGCAGCCTGTGAGCCAGACTTACAGCTATAATGACCGGGCTATTCCAGGGAGGGAGGAAGCGAGCTCTTGGGGTTCAGAAGATGCGGGGCTCAGGGTCAGGTGTTTGAGAATTATCGGTGGAGCTAAAATGTATGCTCACCAGCTAGTGAAGACTGGATGGCCAGGTTCTACACGCATCATATCCACATTCTCTCTGTGGGTCTGTCTTTCTCATGGGCATGTGCGCGCGCGCGCGCGCACACACACACACACACACACACACACACACACACACTTGCTAACAACTCCCCTTTCCCTAAGTACATACCCACATAACCACTCTGCCTCACCTGCTTCCCACTCTCCAACAAAGACACAGATACACATGTAGCTGGAGATTTGGCCAGAGAAATGGCCATATCAGAACGCTGGGCAGAAATGCAAACTTGAGGCTCCCTGGTATTGTGCGTGGGTGAGTACAGATAAACTTCAAGGCAGGTGAGCAAGACGGTAGATATAGAGTAGGACACAGGAGAAGATCTACGTATCACTACCAGAAAATTGAATGTTTCACATGAAGAATTAACAGAACGTGGAATGGGATCCATGCTTAAATAATGGTATTTTCTTACACAGCATCCTTGGAGAATCTGAAGGAATGTATTCTAATGTAGAACAAGTTGCAAAAAAATTTCAAAATAGAGACTTACATTTCACTAGCAAAAAGTCCCTGAATTCCTGGTGGTCTGTAAACACCGGTGGGGATGGCAAGGGGGGACCAAAGAGTGGTACACTTTCTTCTGAAAATATTTTCAGCCTACATAGAGAACATTTCAGAATTACTAGGTTTTTCTTCAAAGATCACCAAATATCTGGACCTTACATTTTTGTACAGTTGCCTACGTGATATGTTAAGAATATTCATTCCCCGGGAGGCATGCCTTCTCTGGGCTGCCAGAGCCTCGGCCACTGTGTGGTTCTCCCATGGGCTTTAGGGCAGAGGCCAGGCCTTCCTGACTCCTTCATGGTCCAACCTACCAAGCTGTGGGCAAGGTCAAGGACGCCAGGAATAATAGCAAAGGCCACCATTGAGCACCCACCGCATACCAGGCAGCATACTTGGTATTTTAAGACATCGTATTGACTGATTCTCATCAAGCAACCACAAAGTTAATAGTGACAGAGCTGGGATTCCAACCCACATCTATTTGGCTCAAGGTTTATGCTCGTTTCACAACATCATGATACCTTTTTAACAGATTAATTTTTGAGAACAGAGGGATCAATAGGCCAGGATGTAGCCCAGGAAAGGGGGTCCTCTGGTCAAGATCAGACATACCAAATTTGTGCCCATTTTAGAGTACAATAAAATTCCAAACGAACCCTCACCCTTGGGCTGACGACACAGAGCAACACTATATGGAACAAGCCTTCCCCAAAGAAATGATGGTCCCGAAGGGAGTTCTCGGAGGTGAGGACATTTGCACCAAATCAATCAGCAAATATGTGTAGAAGTCATCGAATGAATGCCAAATTAACAAGTAAACGTGAGAATTAGAACAAGCGACTGAGAGAAAGTCATCACCTACCTGTAATTGTCATTTTGTTGATCATACCTCACTAAGGCAAAAATATCTGTGGTGATGGTTAAGGAAATGTAATCAACGACCCCAACGCTCATAGTCAACGGCTTGTGCCTTGAAATCCCTCGTGCAGAATCATCCCAGATCCGCACTTCTGTGCTCAGGGCATCTGTCACTCTTAGGCTGAGATGGAGCCTTGACTATTTTAAAGGAGACAGCCCAGGAAGGCAGAAGTTCAACCTCTGTGTGCTCATCCTTTGGGGGAAAGAGCTTTGTCTCTCCATCTGTCAGAAAAGCAACACAAATGTAGCTATTACACCACTAAGCAGCCAAAAAAAGCCAAAAGAGCAATTTGTTGGCTTGGAAATACAAACCACGTCCCAGTATGAAATTAGACACACATTTCCCGTCACCCATTTTGTAAATAAAAGCAAATTAAGTGCTTCCACTGCACACCTTCCCTCTTCTCTCCTTCTGGCTTTGGTAGACAAAACAAACCAAAACAAACCAACGTAGAAGCTACTTTGTTGTGACAGGTACGCCGAGTCTAAACCGGTACCATACCTCGTCCAGCTTTGCTTTCTTTCTCCTATTCCTCCTCCTCCCCTGGCAGCTCCTCCCCCACACTTTCCTCAGCCAGGGCTAAAAGGCCATCAGTCCCTCCAGCTGTTTCCATTGCTGGACTCAGAGGAAAGAGGCTACATTAACTATCTGCTGGACGCTTTCTGGAAACAAATGTGTCAAGCCCCAAATCTAAAACTTAACAACAAAGGGGATTCTAAACATCATGACTGCCTCTCGGTCACTTAAAGAGCCACCCCCCCTCTCCCCACCTGGAGAAAACTTCCGTTCTAGAAGTACTGCTTCGGGAAAGGGGAAGTGGTGGCCCTAAATCCCAGTGAATGAGCGAGAGGTCACTTAATGAGCAGGGGTGGGAGCAAAAACAATTATTGTTGAAGTGCAGGTGCATAAATGTTTTCTTCCCTGCCCTCCTGGAAGAAATCTGGCCATTTCCCACTTCTAAAAACGTACAGGCTGTATTATTAGGTGACAATGAACAAGTCAAAACACACAGAGAAATCTACTTCCAGATACGATGAGTCACAGTGGTCCTGTTTCCCAACATTTTTACTGGAGTCTCCAGGGAACATGAATAATTAGCGCAGAATTTATTCTGAAAATGTCTATTAGCTGCCCTTTATTTACCTTTATTTACCACGTACAACCTGTGGAGGCACCACCTTTGGGTCTTGGGCTGTCATGGCCTGTGACCCAAAGCAACAGGGCCACAATGATATCTATTGGGCTGGCCAAACTCATGTCCTATGCCTGTCTGAATGAGCTGAGCTTGGACATTACAGAGAACTTCAGCAGGACTTTGCCAGCAATATGAGCTAAGCAGGGATTTGAGGAAGCAGAGGGAAAAGTGAATAGAAATATGATTCATTCCATCATTTCTCTAATTTTAAGAGGTGGTAATACAGTAGTTATCACCAGGCTTTAGGATCAAGAAAGAAACACTATTTTGGCTATTTTAATTTGTGAATTTTTATTTAACTAAATTTAACTGAATTCTAATAACTTCAATTCAATTCAAATTTTTATTTGACTACCACAAATTTCTCAGAGGGTTCACTACCCATAATTCTTCTAGTCCATTTATTACTGATGGATGGTTAAGAAGTTTCCCTTATTTCATAGACTACTTGAGGAAAGAAACGATATTCCAGAAGCCAAGAATTCTCTGAGGATGAGTCTATCCATTACTCCAATGGATGGAGAAAAGATGAGAGCCAAATAACCCTGAGGGAAAAATCCAGAACAGTGGCTCTAAAAATCTAGCGACACAAAACAACTACGACAAGCAAGTCAATGGTAACATTTGTTTTGAGGGTCACTTTAGACCCATGAGGTTGACCAACAGCTCACTAAACTTGTTCACAAAGGCTCAGGATACGTGTAAAGTGGGAGCGGATCATGGAAGGCTTAAAGGCAGGAGAAGGTTCCTCTCCCTCCTGGAACACGATGGTGACGATGTCATTTCCAATATGGCGCTTCCTCTCCACCTGGATGAAAGCATAAGTAACACCGTTGAGGAGGTTACTCAAATGTGGCAGATTCACAGGGTTAAAAAACTAACACAGTATGGAAACCACAACGGTCACAGAGCCCCAAACTTCCATCGTGTTTGACTTCCTGCCTCCTGTGTTCTACCAGCCCAGGCTCCAGGCTCTCCTAACCATCTCCTCAGCTCCTCACCCAATGCAGACCTGCCTTTCTTCTTGCCTCCCCTTCTGCAGAAGCTTCCGAACTAGCCTCCTTGCCTCCATTCTCTCCCATTTTGCTGTCGTGATTGTATCCACCTTTGTTCCTACTTCATCCTCTTAGCCTGGCATTCAAGGCCCCCAGACAAGAGGCACTGCATGAGAATTTCCTGGGGAAGGGGTCAAACATGTGCATGTTTATAAATGCCTTAGCTACTTCTGAAAGATGTACTTGGGGAGGACAATGGCCTTATGTAATCTGACCTCAGCTGATCTTTCAAAACTGATCTCCTAGACCTGTGGTCAGCAATTTTTTTCTGTAAAGGGCCAGACAATAAATAGTTTCAGCTTTGTAGATCATATTGTCTGTTTGCACCCATGAGCTCTGCTGTCATAGTACAAAAGCAGCTATAGACGATCCGTAAACGGGTAGGCATGGCTGTGTTCCAATAACAATTTAACAAAACAGGCAGTATGTGAAGTCTGGCCCATGTGCCATCGTTTGCCAAACCCCTGTCCTAGACCTTTGCTTAATCGGCCAAACAGAAGGATTCACTGTTCTCCGTGGATCCCTGGTGTGTCCCCTATTCTGAAGTATAAGCTCCTGGAGAACAGGATTCCTTTCTGATTCTTACTAGATATTATCCCAGTTTTGCAAATGAGGAAATGAAGGTTTAGGGATGTCCTAATAATTTCAATTCAACTACAAAAGTCATTATTTTTGGCAATCATCTCTTGGCTGTGGCACCAAAAGCACACCCAACAAAAGGGGAAATGAGATAAAATGGACTGCATCAAGATTTAAAGTTTTGGCCCAAGAAAGGACACCACTGACACACGTGAAAGGCAGCAGCACACAGAAGGGGAGAAAATATTTACAGGGGCACCTGGGTGGCTCAGTCGGTTGAGTGTTTGACTCTTGATTTCAGTCTCACGCTTTGGGGTTTGAGCCCCGTGTCGGGCTCCGTGCTGACAGTGAGGAGCCTGCTTGAGATTCTCTCTCTTTCCCCCTCTCTCTCTGCCCCTGTCCTGCTCACACGCTCTCTTTCAAAATCAATAAACTTAAAAAAAATTTACAAATCATGCACCTGATAAGGGGTTATATCCAGAATATACAGAACTCCTACAACTCAACAACAACAAATCAAATAACTTGATTAAAAAGTGGGCAACCGAAGTTGAATAAACATTTCTCCCAAGGAGATGTGATCAACACATGAGAAGATGCTCCACGTCACCGATCAAAACCACGATGGGCTGCCACTTCACACCCATTAGGCTAGCTATAGCAAAACAAAACAAAGCCGAAGAAAACATAAAACACCTGGAAATAAAAGTGCTGTCGAGGACGCGGAGAAAGTCGAGCTCTTAGGCACTTAGCTGCTGGGAATCCAGAATGGGGCAACTGCTGTGGAGAACGGTATACTGGTCCCCCAAACACTTAACCACAGGATTACCACACGACCCAGCAATTCCACTGAGAAAGGAGAGGCTGCAGGAGAGTCGGGGTGCAATTTTGGACACGTTGGGCTCGAGGCATCTAGCCCCACAGGGTGCCAAGAAGGCTGCACCTGAGTCTGGACTTCCGGATGGAGACGTAAATTTGGGGGTCAGCGTATAAAAGCTATCTAGAGCCCTGAGACCAGGGGAGATCATCCACGGAGTGAATGAGAGTAGGAGGTGGCGGCAAGAGGGCCGAGAACCACACCCCGGGCCAGGCAGGGCTCATCACGTGCCCAAGATCACGCAGCTAGTTCTTAGCAGAGCTAGGACTGGGCCCAGATGGGCTGCTCGCGGAGCTGTGCTTTCATCCAGTTCTAGAAGTTGCCCTCAGGGCCTGGAGTTGGGAGACCAGGAGATGTCAGTGGTGCGGGACAACACAGGGAGTTAGGAGAAAGGAGAGGCCCCACAGAGGCAAATATCAATACCTCCCTCTCTGTCACCCCCCAGTTCAGTGACAGAGGGGGAGACATAGAAGTCACAGGAATACCAGAACCTACAAACTGTGCGAGCGGAGGCTTCTTTATGTCAGATTTGGGATATGGCTCAGACCGTTCCCCTCATGTTCTAGATGTTGGGAGGTCCAAAAGCAGCAAGACTTTATGAGCCAGGCTGGCCTCTGTCTTATTGTCTGTTACCTTAGGCCCCCAAGGTACAGAGAGAGGCTCACAGCTAGTGGTTTTTCTCTGCTCTGCCATGATTGGGCACTGTTAAGGTTCACTCGTGTCCTGTGTTTCTTTGTCTCTCTTCCCACCTGTCTGATCTTCCTGGTAATAGACACGAATTTGAGTTTTGTTTTGCCTCCTACCTACTGATGCTTGGCAAGTGGAGGCCCCAAGTGCTACCATGGAGACAACCACGATGTTGAGAATACCGGGTCCACCTGGGGACATTACAGAGCTGCTGGCGAGGGTGGTCACACCTTAATATACTGACAGCCCCTCGAAGAGATAAGGTTCACGTCTTCAGAGTTGGGCAAAGGTTGAAATGTCACATTCTTTGCTCCTGTCTCTCTGGCTAATGCCCCTACCTGTCACAAGACATGGGCAATCTGGTAATTGTGCAGGGCTGAAAAGGTCAGAGTGCAGGGAGGAGGAAGTTTCAGAGGAACATTTCAGGGGAAGTTCTGTGATATTATTGTTGAGCTGTAGGAGGTCATTGTAATTCATAATGACTGGGAAGGCCAGCTCAGTCCCCCCTCAGTGCATGATCCTAAGATCCTAAGAGCTTCAGCTCCTTCGATAATAAAGGTGCCCTCGACCCTGCAAAGGAAGATGCCTTGCAGAAAGTGACCTCGGCCACTAAGCAGTCGTGCTGGGCCAAGGCACTTCCTGTTCCCACCTGCCCTCTCCCAGAGTGAGCCTTCTAAAACCAGAATGAGCTTAAGACCTCCAGTGGGTCTCCGATGCCTGCAGGATAAACCCACCAGCTCTTTACTCCAGGCCCCAAACCATCCGACAGAAGTGGCTCTTCCTATCCCTCCCTGCCACGTCCCCGAAGCATCTTTATATCTCACGGCTGGAACATCACATTTTATTTATTTGAAACATAATTTCTTTAAAGTTTTGTTTATTTTTGAGAGAGAGAGACAGAGTATGAGTGGGGGAGGGGCAGAGAGGGAGACACACACTCTGAAGCAGGCTTCAGGCTCTGAGCTGTTGGCACAGAGCCTGACCCAGGGCTCAAACTCAACAAATTCTGAGATCATGACCTGAGCCGAAGTCAGATGGTTCACCGTCCGAGCCACCCAGGCGCCCCATGGAACGCCACATTTTAGCCGACTGGTTTGTTTTGTGTCTTTCCCCCCTGATGAGGTCTTACTGAACTAAGAATTACATGTGCTTAGAAACAAAAGCCTCTGAGCCCATCACCTCCCCTCTCCAGGTTCTTGTTTCTCACAAATCTTTGCTGACCAACTGTCCATCCACGTTTGTGATATTTATTCATACGATGCCTTCAATGCATAAAAAAGGGATAAAGATCTAATAAAAAGTTAAACAGAATGCCCCCCAAATCCTTCAAAAACCAGCAACATGTATCTTTGTTCTATCTAAATTCCCACAAACTGGAAAATCTTCTGGAAACGGCCAGTCTCTGGGGTGCGTCAGGTAGATTCCCGTCCCCCCAGTACAACACAGCTCATGCAGATACTCGGCGTTAACTTCCTGCAAGGCCCTGGGAAGTGCTTGCCAGCCGGCACTCAGGATTCACTTGCTTTATGTCCTGGGTAGTCTCTGATGAGATACCGGACACACGGAGAGAAGTCTCAGAGCAAAGGCGACATCTACGTAAAACAGTTTCTCACGAGTCTGTAAAACCATACTCACGCATGCAAATACACATACACATTCACACAGAGACACGTGTGTGTACTATTATCTCTGATCCCTTATCTAAGGGGATAGCATCGGTGAGAACAGTGCTTCCCAAGGCTTGTGGAAAGTTCAAATACACAGACTAGAAACGTCCCTACACTGGTGCCTGAAGTTCAGTTCATATATTAGCACATACGGTTTCTTGTTCTACGAAATCATAGCGACGCTTTCTCCACATTTAGGTCACTATGTGATGGTCTGTGTGTTCTCAAAGAGCCTGTGTTCGCACATACCTGCTGTTTGTTCTCTTTGGAATATGGCAACATGGTGGAAACATGAAACATGATCTCATGCCCTTGGTAGACAGTATAAACTGAATGTATCCCTGTGGTATCATCTGTAAGACATAAACGTGAGCATTTAGTAGACACAGAGCATTCTGACACCCTAAGGAAATAGTCTTTATTTGCAGGCTGGGGGACTATAGCACACAGTTAGTACACTCCCAAGGATCATTCTGGGTTATCCACCTGAGCGGAAGCCACAGTATGGCTCACTGTCCAGCTAATACAAGGCTCCCGCCCACGTGGAGAGCCCTCCCCCTCCCCGCTCTAAGCTCGCTTGCTGTCTGATTCACATAGACGTCTGGGCTTTATTTTTTTTTTTTTTTCAACGTTTATTTATTTTTGGGACAGAGACAGAGCATGAATGGGAGGGGCAGAGAGAGCCACAAGAATCGGAAGCTCAGGCTGAGCCATCAGCCAGAGCCCGATCGCGAGGGCTCGAACTCCGCGGACGCTTGAGATGCGTGACCTGGCTGGTCGGGCCTAACATTTCGCCGCAAGCGTATGACGTCTGGGCTTTAAAAGGAGAAGGTGCTGCAATCTTTTGCCTTCCAGTTACTGCTCGTGTACAGGACAAAATTAACATGAGATGACATACACATAATTATGACGTCCATAAAACAAAGCAAGTACTCTCACGGGTAGATGGCAGAGTGGCTGAAACCACTGGCTCTGGAGTTAAGCGGACCTGGGTTGGAGTTCTCAGCTATGTTCCTTTTAACAAGTCACCTTAATTTTCTCGAAGCCTCAGTTTCTTAATTTGAAAATGGGGATAAAAATAGTAACTACCTTCTAGGGATGTTTTCAAGATTATACTTGCAGGGTACCAGGCCACAGCAAACGTTCAGTGGATGGTGGCTGTGACCGTAACGGAGAGGCTGAGTATTGGCAATGGGGGTAGCGAACCTATGGGCGGTCAGGTTCACCGTGTGCCCATGCACCTGCCGGGTCATTCCCCACACCGCGGCCAGCAAGTTCGGCTGGAGGGTGCAATCAGACCCCACCACGCCTCTACTTAAAACCCTTTCATGACATCCAACTCCATTTACAATAAAATCCGAAATTTTTCATGTGATCTCAAACTCCCCACGGGATCGCTCCCTCCTCTTCTCCAGTCCCTTTGCCGTGAAGATGTTCTCTTAGTTTCTAGAACACATCAGGCTCTTTCCTCACTCAGAGACTTCACAAATGTTCTCTTGCCTAGAATTCTCTTCTCCCTTCAAGACTCAAATTACTCCCTCTCATCCTTCCCTCAGGGAAGCCTTCTTTCATCCCCCAGATTAGGGAAAATGCCCCATGGCACTCTGCACTTTTTCTTCTTTGTTCCTCCAAGCACTTAGTGCTAAGGTATTTGGTAATTATCTGTTTAGGGTCTGTGCTATCCACTGGACTATCAGCTCCTAGAAAGGTAGGGACCATGTTGGTGTATCCATTGCTACGTCCCTGGAGCCTCACATAGCCCTGGTACACAGAGGCTCTCGACAGTAAGTATTCACGGACCGTGGCCTGCCATACGTAGGGGCTGTTTGAGGGTGGGCTTGGACTTGCCAGACTCAATGGAGGCCCCAGATGTGTCCAGCCGCCCTGTGTCCGACTGGGTATGAAGCTCAAATTCCTTCTCATCCTTTCCTGTCCATCCCTTCCCCACCTTGGGACTAAATCCAAATACAGGTCAGGCTGACTACTAGAGAAGTTATACAAATGGCAGCAGAAGAGATCAGGAGGTGAGCTTACTTTTGGTGTCCAGACCGCCGCGGTAGCCTGTCCAGCCCTTTAGGGTGATTTTGTCACCCAGAAGATGTAAAAATTTTTGAAAAGCGTCACTTCCGATTTCTGCAGGAAGAGGTAAAGTGTGAACAAAGTACAGAATGTGCAAGGTCGTCATTTTCTAACGATGCCCTGAAATCACTGGAACGTTAACGAGGCTGTGGAGACTCGGGCAGCAGACCGAGCGGAGAGGCCACGCTTCCTTCCCGGAGACCGCAAAGGAACTTCCACAATTCACGGGATTCCAAGGAAAGGAAAACCACAGAATCAGACTGACCAACCTTCCCGCTGCCAGACTGGGATCACAAGGCTTTAGTGTTGCAAAACGTAAACACCATTGCTACTTTTATTAATAATGAATACGTATGTAACAAGAAGACTGCAGGTTACAACAACAGGAAAATGGCATATTTGATAATTCTCCCAACCGTAAATATCAGAGAAAAATCTTCCTCTGCTACTGAGATTATGATGTAGAGCCAAATTCTTCCAATCCCGTGTACTTTTCCAGACAGACTCCATCTCCGGTGCCGGTGGCCGGTCCAAATTTGGTGACCGACAAATATTTGCCAAATTGGATGAAACTGGACAGCAGCTGCCCTACAAAGTTTACCCTGGAATTTTACCCTAAAATTTCGTGAAACAACTGAAAGACTCCAACTCAACAGGTACGCTCAGTTTGGATTGTCAAAACTGTCAACAAGGGTTTCAGTGAGCACAAAGGAGGGGACACTTACCATTGCTGAACATCTCGTCATCAGTGAGCTGCCCGTCTTTGGCAAATAGAACCCCAAACTTGAAATTCACGGAGCCCTTACAATAAGACAACAAAAGGCGTTGAATGTAACTTTATCATGAAAACATATACAGTTAGGATATGTGTTGTTCATCACTTAGGAAAACTTCAATGACCAAGATGGATATTTGAGGATTACTTTCTCTCCTCCATCTCAATTTTGACTAGTATTAACAAAATCATTTATTTCTATAGGTTTTTATAGCTTACAGTTGAGACTTTTTTTTTTTTTTATGTGAGTTAATTCATTTGTAATTTCATTACTAATGGCTTCTGCTGGATGCCAGGTCTATTCTGCAGCAAAACAGCACTCAAATTGCCAGCAGGAGCTCACAGGACTGGTGCCATGTTCTGATCAGTTAACACAGGAGAGCTCGGTGTAATTCAAAACTGAACCCAACAATCTTAGGCTGATATATTGTGGACTGTTAGGAACAGAAATGGAAACCGTAGGCAATTTATTCTAAAAGCTGGTTTCCCCAAATTCCTCAAGGCAATTAACCTCAAGAAGTCACAAAACAGATGTGTGTTGGGGTGGGGATATCAAGAAGTCGCTAGTACAAATGTTCAATCTGCTACCCTGAACTCTAAACAATGGATTAAAATCAGATTCTGTGGGAATAATAAATACCAAATACAAGATGGTAGGTTCTACAGGAAGAGTGAGGAATGAGATCAGGTAGATCAATGGTACTTTTCATATTTTCTTCCTTAAGCTGGATAATGGGTTTACAGGTCTTCATAATATTATTCTCTACCCTTTTTTTGTATATCTGAAGTATTTCATAACAAAAATGAAATCTAAGGTTGGAAGAGAATCAACTTTTGTGAGGCTCTGTGATGCACCACTAGATGGGGGAATTCTAGGTGGTCAATTAAAGGGTAGGCTAGGAACAAAGGTGTTTAAAGCATTGGCCAGTGGATCACAGGTTGGTGGTAGGGGGTGGGGTGGAGTGGGGTGGGTGAGTAAGGCAGAATGCCAGATTCAGGACAGCTGGGTCTGGGAGAATTAAGATTAAAAATCCAATGGCCCAATGCTGTGCTTCTAAGCATCTTTCTGTCCTCAACACACCTAACAGACAGATGCACATCCATCAGTGAGTGTGGTTTTCTATACAGAGCGTGAAAGAGAATGCGCCCAGGCTGAGCGCTCACCTGGAACTCTTCCACAGCCCCTTCTATGGCCTGTTCCTTCCCATCATGCAGGTCTTGGCTCAAATGCCCGTGTCCAGAGAGGCCTTCCTTGACTTTTCGATATAAAGTCACTGCCGGCCATAGCATCTTGTTTATTTTCTTAGCACTATTCATACTCAGTAATTCTTTTATTAAATGTGCGTTTGTGTCTGTTTCTACCACTAGAACACAAGTCTTTGAAGGACAGATCATACACGTCTTCCTTTCTACCGAATCTCCAGTGCCCACCATGGTGCTGGGTATACTGGAGACAATTAATAAATATTCATGGCATAACCGTGTGCATAATAAAGGAGCAAAGACACAAAACTGGTCAGATACAACTTGTTTTTCACAAGCTGCCTCCAAATGATTACCTCTTCTTCACAATCTTGTTTTTGGTAATTTCTTACAATTTTTGTCTGGGGTCTCTTCCTACTTGAGGATTCTAAACTTGCTAACTTTTCTTCCTCTGTTTTGGAAATGATGACAGCAGTCACGTGTCTCCAAGACTCTGGCACACCCTCCATTCTCAGAGATCCCTTAAAAAGCACCTAGGCTCAGTCGGTTAAGTGGCCGACTGCGGCTCAGGTCATTTGCAGTCCGTGAGTTCGAGCCCCGCATCGGGTTCTGTGCTGATAGCTCAGAGCCTGGAGCCTGCTTCTGTTTCTGTGTCTCCCTCTCTCTCTGCCCCTCCCCCATTTGCGCGCTCTCTCTGCCTTTCAAAAATGAATAAATGTTAAAAAAAAAAAAATTAAAAAAAAAGCACCTACATGGGGAGCTTGGGTGGCTCAGCTGATTAAGCTTCTGACTCTTGATTTTGGCTCAAGTCATGATTTCACTATTGTGAGATTGAGCCCAGCATTGGGCTCTGGGCTGGGCAAGGAGCCTGCTTGGGATTCTCTCTCTCCCTCTTCCTCTGTTCCTCCTTTGTTCATGCACATGTGCGCTCTTTCTCAAAATACAAATAAATTAAATAAATAAATAAATAAATAAATAGTGTCTATAGTAGTCTGCCTATAATAGTATCTCTTAGGATAACAGCGTTGAGACTAAGGCAGTGGCTCTCAGACTTGACCAGGTGTCAGAATCACTTGCAGACTTGCTAAAATAGACTGCTTGGCTCCACTCCTGACGTTTCCAATTCATCACTTCTGGGGTAGGGCCCAAGAGTCTGTATTTCTGACAAGTTCCTAGGTGATGCTGGTTCTGCTGGTCCAGGAACCCCACTGTGAGAACCACTGGACTAGAGAACAAGCTAGCAGACTGGCAGGTGGCACAGGATCAGGTCCAGCCAAGCTGACTGCTGGCGAGCCAAGAGCAGAAAGGCTGGGTCAATGGCTAGAGTCGTGAGCCGGGAACTGGCCGCCTCTTAGAACCAGAAGGGACCCTATGGCCCATGGAGTCCACGCTTTCCTCTTACGGACAGGACGAGTGGAGACCAGGGAAGGCCAGCCTCACCCAAGGCAGGCACTGAGTAGACGGTGGGATAGGAGCCAGAAGTCGGGTCTCCAGACTTTTGACCCAGCACTCTCCCCAGCCCCGTGGTGTGGTCTTCTCCGGGCAGTGCTGGGTTGACAGAAGTGCTGAGGCACAAGCAGAAAGGGGGCCTCCTGCCACCCGATCACCGGCCAAAGCTTGAAGGAGTTCTTATGGCTCTGTGACTGGCATCCTGCTGCCAGCGCCCTGGCTGAGGAATCCTCCCGCTTCAGGTGGGGACTCCAGAAAGACCAGTGTGGCAAGGCCTTGTTAAAATACCTGGAATTTACCTACAGGGTCTCCAGCTAATTTTGTTTCTAGGGCTTCCCAAATGATGGTGACGATTAACTCAGAGTTACCACCTATCTCCAGAAGTCAAGGCTTCACTGAATAGAGTGGATTATATTTTTGGAAGAGATGGTTTTGGGGAGGGGATGGTTTGATGTGGCACTACCCGACCACCACAGATCACATGTGAGCAAACTATTTAAGCTGACATCATTAAGCTGATCTCTCAGCACTAGATCTTGGGGGATGGGACAGAGGTCTCAAGGTTCTAACACCAGATCTGGGCCCCAGGAGGGAGGTGACTGGTGTGGGGAAATCCGTGCAAACTGGTTTTCTCAGGATTTAAGTCCTGCTCAGACACTCATCACAGAGATAGAATCATTTTTCAATTCCTACTTGTATGGGGCGCTTTCTTTAAAGTTTATTTATTTTGACAGAGAGAGTGAGCAAGAGCGGAGGAGGAGCAGAGACATGGGGGGGGAGGAGAGACAGAGAGAGACAGAGAGAGAGAGGGAGGGAGAGAGGATCCCAAGCAGGCTCCATGCTGTCAGCACAGAGCCAGACGTGGGGCTTGAACCCATGAACCTGAGCTGAAATCCAGAGTCAGACGCTTAACCGACCGAGCCACCCACGCACCCTTAGGGACTTTGGATTTTTAAGTTCTAAATGTTCTGAGACAAAAGTCAACGTGACTATCAGCCAAGGTGCAGTCATTTCCTCAGGAATTAATAATGAGCTAGGAATCATATTTCTTTTGAAGGAAGTGAAGTATGTGGGGAAACTGAAGTTCCAATAATTCGAGAAGCACCGAGAAATGATGGCCTGATTTGAAACCAGATACCCCTGGTTCCTTGTCACTCTGGGTCAGGCGCTACCTTGGCATTTTTATGATTCACGTGTTCCTACACTTCTCATACTGTCTCCATGCGTGTTGCAGCCTGGGGAGCCATGCCTCTCCTGGGGTGCCTCTCAGAGGACGAACAAAACTCGGGTCTCAGATAGTTTATCACTGTAACTGGGTGGAATTAGGATAAATGCTCCCGGGCCGAGAAGGTGGCAGGATTAAACAGAAGTGCCTTGGCCACATCCTCTCTGAAGGGTGACCATGGCTCAGGCCTCTTGGAATACACTGTGACAAGTGTTTGCTCTTATTGCTTTGAGCAATATTCTCGTAGTAAAGAAATGAAATTGAGAAAGAAAGAGATCAGCTATTTACTTTTCCAAAACTCAGGAGGTCCAAAAAAAGAAGTGTAAGAAGATAAACTCCAAACCAGTTCACAGGGGTTGTACGGGGCTGGGGATGGGGTGCGGAGGGCGTGGCAGTGAAGGTGGGGAGCTTTCTCATTTTCCATTTATACATTTCTGCACTTTGTCAGAACAGGCATGTGCATGTACTCTGTAGGTGCCAAATAAATACCTCTGGATTCACGAACAGAATAGTTCTGAGACGTGAAAACTCTACGCGGCGTAATCCTAATTTTACGTAAAATACAACAAACGTATATACCAAAATGGGATACTATGCCAATACCAGTTTTCTCTCTGATTTTAGGCAGTACTTTCGAGTTTTGTGCATTTCTGTAATTTTTGAATGTTTGCCAGAAATGTCTATTACTTTCATTTCTTGCCGTCTACCAACTGCAGCCACAGGCATGACTTGTACGTGGATAACATACAGATAAAAACGTGGGCGTCTGTGTGCTGGTGCTCTGCAGCAGCCCATCCTACACCCCCACCGTCCTGCACAAAGTCCTCCTGGGAGTTACAACAACCTGGGCCACATTATCTCAGCGACTTGGCACGTACATCGACGTGTTCACAGGAATCCCCCGAGATGTCACTGGCTCAGAGAAACCTACGCTGTTCAACATAAAAAACCTGCTCCTTCCTGCACCGCCCACTTTGTTTTATTTTCCCCACAGCCCTCAGGGCTGGCCACATTGTCACGTTTATGTCTGCTTACTTGGGCACTTTGTCTTATCCCACCAGATCGTAAGCTCCATGAAGGGGCCTTGTCTCGCTTGCCGATGTATCCCCAGTGCCTCAAATAGTACCGGGTACACACACAGGGGGAGCTCAGTAAATATTTGTTGAATCAATGAATGAGCAAACGAATGAATACACATATAAATCTTTGCTTATAAAAACAACTGGAACTGGGGTGCCTGGGTGGCTCAGTCGGTCTTGATTTCAGTTTAGGTCATATCTCACAGTTCGGGAGTTTGAACCCCACATTGGGCTCTGTGCTGACAGCGTGGAGCCCTGCTTGGAATTCTCTCTCTCTCCTCTCTCTCTCTGACCCTCACCCATTGGTGTGCTCTCTCAAAATAAATAAACTTAAAAAATAAACAGGAATTGCCCTGTGAATTGCTTTCTTTTCCCCTCAATAAACATTATATCATGGAAAACTTTCCAGGCCAGGAAATAAAGATCTACCTCATTCTTTTCTTTTTTAATTTGAGAGAGAGAGAG